CTGATTGAAATCTGGCTCTGCTGACAGTGATGCCCTTCTCTCTAGGGTTTTGTTCAAGGTATTATGCAACAGTAATTTCAAAAGAGATTGAGCCACTGTTGCTGACTTTATCTATAAATACATAATTTTTCCTCAATTAACAACTTAATGAAATTGAGTTGTTTATATTTAACTAGAATTAGGCTTCAATGAATGTGCCTACAAAACTAATATGTCATAGGTCATCAACTTAAGAGATTACTATTACCTGTTATTTAGAGAGTATACATATAGCGGCTATGATTTTTATAATGCATTTTCATAAAAGATAAATTGCCTTTATATCTAATGAAACTGTATATTCCATTACCAGGGACAATCCATCAGAAAGGTTAGGAAACTTGAAAAATGGAGTGAAAGATATCCAAAAGCACAAGTAAGTAATCAGTAAAGGGGTGCACATAGAAATCTTATTGAATAGATGTTTATAAAAAAAATGAAAATGGACTTAAGATCAGGTAAAGCACTGGTGGAACCAAAAGAGTACAACAAGATGGGTCCACATGGAAAGTGTCTTATCAGGATATGGTCTTCCTTCTGTTTCAGGAGCCTTCCTTCTTAACCCCCGAGCATAAATGGATGTACCCCCTTTCTTCTGTGTAGAACTTGCTTGAGATGTGGCAATCATTTCACAGAAACGAGACAACTCTCTTGAAACAAATATTAGAATGATTATTTTTTTCTGTGCTGATTCCTGAAATATGTCTAGAGTCTAGACTATTGAATAGTGATTGGCATAACAAAACATTGTGATTTGTTTGAGAGTAACATACTTGGCTCCTTTGCAAATCTAACTATATAGGGTTCTATTTTAATATGTACAAATAGTAATGCATTTCATATATATATAACTACCAAAAGTAAACATTTTACCAAAAGTCTTCTCATACTATATCAACCCAAACTCAGAGATTAGAGGCGTTTCCTTTTTCTATATGCTTGTCTCCCATCATAATGGCTTTACCAAGTCAAACTCTGCTGAAATGGGAAGAAGACCTGGTTAACCTCTGGGACAAAGGAACAGTAGTCAAGAGCCTGTATATGGTCTCACAAAGCATCTCACTGCACATTACATTGGGAATTGGCACAAAAAAAATATGTTGATGGTACTATACGCCTTTAAAATGTCTAATATAGATTTGCATTACATTGAGACATGCTTGAGACGATGTGGAGATAAATGTACTCCACACATGTGGACATTCCCCCAACATGACACATTTTTGGATGCAACCCTTACTTTTTCTCTCCATAGTAGTGGGGTATAATGCTCTTTGGAGTCCAGAACTGGCCTATCGGATGTGAAAACATTCAGACCTTTCTTTATTTCATAATCTATTAGCCTTTTTTTAACTAGTATATATATACTTTGAATTCATGTTAGAAAAAAAACATGAGATCATATGAAGATTCTATGCTTTATGACCATTATGGTGTCTCATTGAATGTTATCCGATCACTAACCTTTTTCATTAAACTATACATGTCTGTACCTAAAAGATGGTCCATTATGCACAAATTTTCCAGAGAACTGTCTTTTTTATGGCCTTGAGCTATGTCGTACTGCCTGGGAAGTTGACTATGTTTCATTTGGTTTGTTTTTTATCTATGCTTTGCCTTTGCTGACCCTTTCTTTCAAAGATATTGCTCCAGGATGACTTCTATCAGGTGTAAATCCTTGCTTTATAATCTCTCCCTCTGAGAAGTGAATACACGCTACTGTATATTAAGATATAATCTGTTTATTTTTTCTACAAAAGGCCTACACAATATGCAGCTGACTGTAATTTTGTTGTAATGACTTTTTTTGTCTTTCTACTGTGCTTCAATTGTTATAATTTTTTTTGTAAAATAAATGTGTATTAAAAAAATGGAAATGGAACAAGGCAGAAAAAGCTTAGTCCAAGCAGTTTCCAAATGGTTTTGAGAGTGTAATGATAATGTGAGACTAGCAAAGAATATGTCTGTCAAGGTTCTCATTCATCCAGGTGATGGTATATCTGCTGGTTGGATGCCCAGTGAAACATCTTCAAGAAAAATACAGCAAGTCCAGTTGCCTTGACTTATTTTTTACAGTTATAGCAAAGAATAGTGTGTTACCCAAGATTGGTCCACAAGACCCTCTTACAGTCTTTAGTAGTCCCTTGGTAAAGGTGAGCCTTTTTTTACCATTAAGCCTTATTTTACCATTTTGGCAATGGCTGTCTTTCTGCTACATGCCTTGTCAAACTTGCGGGCTGAACGAAAAAAAATAGAACGGATTCCTCCATCAACGCTTATGTGCGTAAATAGACGAATCCCCCGCTGTTTGCTTTTTACTCTGACAGCGGCCACCAGACGCTGTCATAATACCTGTACAGAGTTAGCAGCTGATTGGCTGCTAGCTCCGTTCATCTGAGAATTTTCCAACCTGCTCCTTTGACCAGCTGATCGAAGGATACCAGCGGAAGTGTGCCGACAGTGGTACCCACGGTGTGAAAGTCTTCACTTTAAGTTAAAGCTATTGTCCTGTGAGGCACCTATCAAAGAAGCTGTTCACTCTTGAACTTGTCTTCTGATTCTGTTGTAGCCTTGGGTCTTTCAGAACTGTGTTTATCAGATTTTCTTATAGTTTCCAAGTGTCCTTTGATGGTGAGGGAAACTGTGTTAAATGGCTGTCTTTGTAATTTCTTTAAAGAAATAACCTAACCACTTTATAAGGTTAAAACTTTTAAATTTACTATCCAGGCAGTCCCCGAGTTACAAACATCCGACTTACAACGGAGACTATTACTGTACAGCAGGGGGTCCCAGGCTACAGCCAAAGTGTACTGCGCAGCATTTCAGTCGTTGTTATGCTACCGCGCTCGTGCCGACAAAAAGTGCCCACCTTTATGGGTCTGGTTCATAGTACTGTGCATACATTACAGGAAGTTGGCTCTTGTTAGACATGAAGACGAGGGGTACTCGCTTCTTCTTCCACTTCTTCTTTTTACTGCCGTCTGTATCCTCATTAGAATGGTTTAATCTCACTTCCTGTCCTTGAGACAACATGAAAGGAGAGGAAATCTACACCTAGGAAGTGAAATTCACTCCGGTAGGAGTTATCATGGGGAAAAAGATGTCTCCACTGAAGCTTTATCAACAATCTTTGTTTCCAATTTTCAAAATCCAATTGTCACAGAGACAGAAATGAAATCTTCTGAACAGGGACACACACAGCAAAATAAACATTACAGGGGGTTAACCCTTACCTATGCTATCCAAAACTCAAAACAAATGTGGGGGGCTGGAGTTACACCTAAAAAATGTACCTGTTCCAACTTACATACAAATTCAAATTAAGAACAAACCTACAGTCCCTATCTTGTTCGTAACCCGGGGACTGCCTGTACTTTTAATTTTTTTTAGCCTCTTTCATTCTACCACTTACCCTTGTGTCATTTGCCATTCACTGAATTTGAACTGCCGAATTAAAAAAAAAAACCTGATAAATTGTGCATTAAAAATTTTAACCAGTAGCGGGAGTATATTCACTATGCACATACACCAAGAAAACAGACACAGGGTTGATTTACTAAAGGCAAATAAGCTATTGACTTTGCAAGGGATTTTTCACTTAGCTTAGTGAATGAGGTGAAGCTCTGCTGACTTTCATCATCTAATAATGTGAAATAAAAATTACTGTTTTCTTCTACCTGTGATTGGGTATTCTTTGCAAAGTGCATTCTCACCACATTCAATAAGCTAAGTGAACATTTTCCAGGAAAAGTGAACAGCCTATTTTCCTAAAGTAAATCAACCCCACTGTGTATTTTTAATAGCTTATTGCTAAAAAATACTTCTCTTATCTGCAATATGTTGGGAAAATTATTCTTATCTGACAAACTTGTACAAGTCAAATGACACTCACTGTGGAAAATGATTTTTATCTCTGGGCTAGTCTGACCCTAATAAGAAGCGCACACAAATATGTTACCATAAAATTAGATTTTCGTGCGTCATACAAATATCTTAATTATTCACACTTGCGTTCCTTTTACACATTTTTTTTTTAAATGTATAAATTCTTATCAAGGGATAATTTTTGAAAATACAGAAGACATTATGCTACTCAGACACTTCAATCATACATACAAGAATTGCATCCCAGTGATGTAAATTTATGAGCTTACAATGAGAAGGTCAGATGACATTACTTACATTATAAGTTTCTCAGAATTTATTAAAAGGCCAGTATATGTAAATTGCGAGCTGATTTAAATAAAAGAAATATGTGAATGACATGCATGCATATCACACTAAAGATAAAGCTAATATTGTGGTGGGGGGTATTATGTATCCTGAGCCACCTACCTCCTTGTCAAGTAAACCTTTTAGGAGAAAGCTGGTACTGTCCCACAGAAAACTTTGATTCTGCCCAGTAACCCAGAGAAGATGTTTTGCAAATTACCAAAAGTCCAAAAATACCTTATAATAAAACAATATGGCAATTTAAAGCTAAGTGCAATGTAATATATGTATTTTTATGTATAATATTTCATATATAATCATGAAAATAGTTATTTTAGAGTTTAATGAATTACAGAAAGGCTTCAGTGATAAGCACCTGGTAACTGTATTCTGTAACAGCAATGTGCACTTTTGAAGAAGCACTGTGCATGTTTTTATATATGTATAATTTCAAATCTAGATTCTAGCCATCATCGATTTATATAGTATATATTTGTGTCAGCTGTGTTTTTAGAGTTTTTTCTTAGCTTTTAGAGGTTATATATGAGTTTGAGTATCCTGTATAGCATATTCTGGTTGGAGTTTTTATTTGTAGGTATTGTTGATTAGGTGTGTAATGCGGTTTGTAGATTTTTTTTCTTGATTGAATTTTCAAACATCAATAAATAACACTCAGCTATATTTTCAAATTAATATACTTCAAGCTTTATCCTCCTATAGAATTCTAACTAGGTTTTTCTGTCTTTCAGATGGTTTGAAGGCTTTAATTGGGAAGGTTTAAGGAAAGGTACATTGACACCTCCCATTATACCAAGTGTAAGTTCCTTTTTCTCTTCCTACTTTCTGCTTCTTCTAAACACTTTGCAAATGTATGGGCACATATTTAGTAAGATACAGCACTTTTTGTTTTATAAATCTCTTCCACCAACAGTATGAGGGGCACTGAATAAAAGATTTGTGCTGCTTTTCTTGAGGTATGGAATTTAAAAAAGTCCTGAGCCAAATTCAGAAAAGCCCTCTCGCCCATTTTGGTAGCTTTGCCAACATTTGCAACAGATTAAGGTAGTTCTTATTACCAGCCCTTTAAAAATATTTCACTATGGCTGCAACAGATTCAAAAAGAATTACTGCTAGGTAAAAAAATATCTACAAAGACCACTAAGCATCAAATTGCTGTCTAGGATGGTTGATCAGTTGATACACTTACCTCCAGCCAATACCCAACATGTCCTGTGTCCTCAACTGACTTTATACATATCTCACTGGCAGGGAATTATGAGGTTTGTAATTCAACCAATTGTGTTTTTTGCAGTGTGGCCCTGCTGATACTCTCTATTCTTTAAGTATGTGATCCTTCTGTTAATATAATGCATGGTAATGTGTTTTCTGATAATGGCCCCCTTCTCTGATTAGCAGAGAGAACCATCTACAGGACAGTCTATGTTATTCAAAAACACTCTAAAGGTATGCTCCCCCTTTGCTTTAATAGTCCCCTTGGTATTGCTCCATCTCTGATGATATAGAATTCCTGGTAAATTGGCTATTCTGACCATTCCTCTCTTTGACAACATTACCTCCATAGTAACATGTTCCCTCTGGTAAAAAGCCTTTCTGATAATGTGTCTCTAGATACATGAACCGTTGAGTAACATTCTCCCTCTTAAAACATATGGTAACTCTGGTAATTTTCCCTGATGGTAACATAGAGTTCCCTTTTTGGTAAAGGGGTTCTTCTAATATAGAGATTCTCTAGTAATAGTCTCTTAGTTGTAATATATCATCTCCATTAGAGCCTCTGCCAACGGGCTTTGAGCTTATGTTCATGACATCAGCTTGAAATGCTTCTGAGATTATTCAGAATTTATTTGCAGGTGGATTTAACCTGCAGATGACCTCCTTCAGGCAAATTTTGCATTTTCATAGACTTGTATGGGAATGCAGAACCCATCTGATGCATACAGAAGCCATTTAAACACTGGCTGTCACTGTACTGCCTCTGGTAATGTAGCCTTTTTAGTCACATAGCCCTTTTTTAAATGGTGCATTAGTTAACACAGACTCTCTGCCTACATGGTCCCTCAGATAACAAAGCGTTTGTAATAATGTGGTCTCTCTGATAAGGTGACATATCTGTGGTCACATGACCTTGTTACGCACCCCTCTCAAAATCACACCTTTGGTAATGTGGGCCTTGCTGGATTGTGCAATATATTATAATAACATCAAGCCTTTTTATGATATTTCCCTGTGTATGTATCAGCATAAAATGGGTTACCTTATCAACTTTGCCCTCATGCAGAACTACAGGGACTTTTTTCAGTATTTTGTGAAGCTATTCATTGTTTCTTTTATTGCAGGTTGCATCCCCCACAGACACAAGCAATTTTGACAGTTTTCCAGAAGACAATGATGATCCTCCCCCTGATGACAACTCAGGATGGGACACAGACTTTTAATGCATTTTTCTTTCCTGCTTCTGCCTTGCTGAAGACAGCTTTCCTGAAAAATGGCTGCCAAGAGAACAAAAAAGGAACTGGGGAAGAATAGTGCTCGGGGTCACCATGATGCCTTGATTGATGCTGCTATAGTAACTACAGTGGCATTAGGACTTATTGCTTAGTTCACAATAACCCTCATATAACATATTTTATGTTTTGACCCCCTTAATATAGCAGTTGACATGGTGGTCCTGAAGCAAAAGCCTCTTCACTAAAAGTATATGCTTTCTAATATTGCAGAATTCACAGTTTACCCTTGAAAAGTATAGTGTAAAATGTATTAAAACTGTACATATATTGTAGCTAGTGCTATCCATAAAAAGGGATAATTTATTTCAGTACAGTTTGTTATGTATGGCAAGGACAAATCAAACTTAAGAACAGAGCCATACCATATTGGTCCTCTGGCTCCTGTCCTAGTGTAGTGCCCACCATCCACTCGCTGGTTGGGGAAGATGGGAGCTGTTAGCCAGCATCAGGAACAGCAGCCATAGAGTCAGATATGGTTATGCTTATTATGAATTATGTAAACTGATAACTTACTGCAGGTCAGAGTAGGTAAGTGTGGAAAATATTTATTAGTTTTACCCCAGATGTGTCCTGCTGAAAAACAACATATTTTTCCTCCTTACTTTCAAAATAATGTGGAAATTGTAGTAAAGTGTGCCTGTTGCCTAAGCTCAATAGAGGCAGCATTTTTCTGGGATGACATGTATAACGAAACAAACCTTTATAATGAGTAAAGTCTTTGTTTCCAAGTAAATATTTAGGTTATATTTTCATGACCATTGCTGATGCTCATAAAGTAGCTGCTGTGGAGACTCAAGGCAAACTAGGCCCATTGTTGAACCCATTTCTTTTAAAAACATATGAGGGACTAATAGGCAAGGTAATGAATTTACTGATGTTGAGATATACACAGTTGACATTTGTATAGAATATGAAAATGTTTCAGGCATAGATAAAACAACAGAACATAGTAACTGCTTTTAGCAAGCACTTCCTGTAGAAGGCCCTTAAATAAATAGAATCTGCAAAATGTTTTACAGTCCCAATGGGCTTTTGGTACTGGCCTTGCTGGCTCTGTTGAGTACTGACAACAGGAACTCTTTATTATATATGGTACAAGTTTCCCTGTATACTGATAAAATTACTTTGTTATAGCACATTCATTGTGAGGACCACAATCATTTGGTCATTGTGAGGACCACAATCATTTGGTCATTCTATGTTCATGTCAAACCAATTCTTAAAGCTGTTTTTTTTTTGTTTTTTTTTAGTTTGTGTTCATGACAATACTGAATGTTAACCTCTATCTTTTGTTAGATTTTTAACAATTCTAATAATAAAAAGCACAACTGATGCATATGCTGTTGAAAATTATCATAATGGTTATCAATTCATTCATCCATCTTCATCTATAACTTTGAATGTAGCTAGTAAGAGCTATACAATGTTCTGTATGAAGAGGCACTAATATGTTCTCAGTTCAATAAGGAAAAATATATTTTTTAAAGGAAAAAAAAAAATAAGATACCTATATAGTTATACTATGACAGGGTGTAAATCAGTGCAGCGCTGAATGATGTCACATATCCAAAATATATCTTAGTCAATGGGAGCTGTACCTTGCTTGTGCAAGGCATCGTTAATAACATCTATTCTGGTGTACCACAAAAGAGTAACTCTAAAGGGTCACTATCATTAAATTATGGGTGCTTTAGGCATTTTTAGAATTAGTAATCTATGTACACTTTTAAAAAGATACAGTATATTATCTAATGCTTATTGGAAAATAAAAAATCAGTGAACTTTCCTTTTCTGTTGTACCTCTTGAAGAGGCTTTGCACAAATTCTAGGCAAAAAAATTCTGTCAATACAGAAATGAAAAATGTTGGTAAGATTGCTTTTAGGCATTCAGTTGTTTTTGCAGTTAAAGGATGGTTGAACTTGCTTTAAAATTGCTCTCTGTGTGGCTAGCAGTCTTTCCTCAAGGACAGGTTGCTGAAATGCTGAATTAAATGCTTAGAGCAGAAATCTAACAGAAACAGAAAACAAGTTAAATACGTTATCTCATATAAGTACTAAATGTGGATGGCTGCTGGTTATTGTAAAAATAATAGCTTGTTTGAAGCCAGATATCACACACATTGCTTTTCCTCTGGCACTGCAACTGACAGTTCTAGCTATATTACAGAGCATGGATTATGGTATGTATGTTGCCCCTTCTATCCCCTTGTCCATTCGCAAAAGATTTTGTATTTTGCTACCAGAATGCAATGTGCTTTATAAATGGACAAGGGAAGAGGCGGAAAGGTCCGGTTCTTTCTTCTGCTCTCCTCTTGTCCATTCACATAATGCCTTATACTCTGTGAGCAGAAAAACAGGCATTTGTGAATGGATGAGGGAAGGGGAAGGGGAGCGTAAACAACACAATCCCTTCATTGTCAAATCCATAGCTCTCAACCCTGCAGCACCAGAAGATCAGTGATATGTTTAGTATCTGCCTTCAATTGAGATATTATGTTTACAGTAACCCATAGCCAGTATACTGATTATTAGAGGTAGCCTATTTAACATGTGCTGTTTGCAAAACAATTTTTTTTCCTGGATTTCTGCTTTAACATAGCAGATACACAAATAGACATTTGCATTAGCTGCATAAGTTTTAAATCCTTCTGAAAACAAGTATATGTGCTTGGATCAATTGATTGTAATACAATACTGTTGGATACATAAAATTAGATAAATTGTAGCTCTTCTGACAAGTGAAAACTCCAGACTTTGGGAAATTCTTGAAGTCATACTTAAAGTTGAACTCTGGGAAAATTTCAAAGCTACCCCTGCAGTGGGGCTCCTTCAGTACCGCAAGAGTTAAATGATTGTTTTTGTATAGGGTCCAGTCCTGCATTATATGTGACATCAGAATGCCTGCAACCACCACCAATGCCTGAAGAGAATGGCTTCGGGGGACTTGTCACACAACTAGAAGGAAGCATACAGGAACAGATATGGTAAGTACTTCTGCTTTTAATCCCTGCAGTGCAAGTCCCACTGCAAAGGTAGTTTTGGCTTTTGCTCAGGAGCTCAGCTTTAAACCAAACCTTTACATGTTTGTGTACAGTAAGGAAGGTAAGAAACTGTGTAAAGTTTTTATTGATATCTGTGTCACCACTAGGAACATTTCTTCACACATACCAATCAGTGCTAGACATAAGGGACAGTGCATCCCCTACCTCCGTGATAGGTATAAACATGCACACTTGGGAGTTAATACTGCACAGGTTTATGGAGGCAGTGCATTCAGAAAGTATTCAGACCCCTTCATTTTTTTAAATTGTGTTATGTTGCAGCCTGATACTACAGTTGATGAATTACTTTTTTTCTCATTAATCTACACTCAGTACCCCATAATGACAAAGTGAAAACAGAATTTTAGAAATGTCTGTGAATTTATTACAAAGAAAAAACTGAAATATCACATGTACTTTAGTATTCAGACCCTTTACTCAATACTTTGTGGAAGCAGCTTTGGCAGCAATTACAGCCTCAAGTCTTTTTGGGTATGACACGACAAGCTTTGCACACATGGATTGGGTGATTTTCTGCCATTCTTTTTTGCAAATCCTTTCAAGCTCAGTCAGGTTGGATGGAGACTGTTGGTGGACAACCATTTTCAGATCTCTCCAGAGATGTTCAATAGGGTTCAAGTCAGGGCTCTGGATGGGCCACTCTAGAACATTCACAGAGTTCTCCCTAAGCCACTCCTGTGTTGTCTTGGCTATGTGCTTAGGATCGTTGTCATGTTGGAAGGTGAACCTTCGGCCCAGTCTGAGGTCCTGGGCGCCATGGAACAGGTTTTATTGAGGATATCTCTGTACTTTGCTCCATTCAGCTTTCTCTCAACCTTGACCAGTCTCCCAGTCCTACTGTTAAAAAACACCCCCACAGCATGATGCTGCCACTACCATGATTCCATGCTTCATTGTTAGGATGTATTGAGCAGGTGATGACCTTTGCCTGGTTTCCTCCAAACTTAACATCTAGGATTGAGGCCAAACAGTTCATCAGACCAGATAATCTTGTTCCTCGCAGTCTGAGAGTCCTTCAGGTGCTTTTTTGCAAACTCCAGGCAAGCTTTCATGTGTTTGGCACCGAGGAGAGGCTTCCATCTAGCCATTCTGCCATAAAGGCCAGATCGAAGGAGTGTTGCAGTGATGGTTGTCCTTCTGGAACTTTGTCCTATCTCCACACAGGATCTCTGGAGCTCAGTCAGAGTCACCATCGGGTTCTTGGTCACCGCTCTACTAAGGCCCATCTCCTCCGATTGCTCAGTTTGGCCCGGCGACTAGCTCTTGGAACTGGTTGTACCAAACTTCTTCCATTTGAGAAATATGGAGGTCTTCAGTGCAGCAAACATTTTTTGTAGCCTTCCCCAGATCTGTGCCTTGCAATAATCCAGTCTCTAAACTCTGCAGGCAGTTCCTTTGACCTCATGGCTTTTGCTCTGATACAGTATGCATTGTCAGATGTGAGGTGTGTGCCTTTCCAAATCATGTCCTATCAATTTAATTTACCACAGGTGGACTCCAATCAAGGTGTAGAAACATCTCAGCAACTATCAAAAGAAATGGGAGGCACCTGAGCTAAATTTCAAGTGTTGTTACAAAGGGTGTGAATACTTATGCCAATGGGATATTTCAGTTTTTCCTTTTTCACACATTTGCAAACATTTCAAAAATGTTGTTTTCACTTTGTCTTTATGGGGTCCTGAGTGTAGATTGAGGGGGAAAAAAAGCAAGAATTTAAACAACTGTAGTATCAGGCTGGAACATAACAAAATTGAAAAAAGTTAAGGGCGTCTAAATACTTTCTGTATGCACTGTATATCTCTTGGTGGTTGAATCATATCTGAAAAATGTCTAAAAATGTGAAGGGTAGGAGCTCAACATCAATGCAAGCTGTGTGCAAGATGTATAACATTGTTTGTGAATTTGATTACCTTTCAGCTGAAATAGCTGGGAGTGGAGGGAAGAATCAGCAAAGGTTAAATTGAACCCCATCAAGCTCCCTACTTCATTAACTACAAGAGAAAAAGATGAATCAACAGTGGATACTCTGTGGGAAAAAGTACAATTAAAGGGGTGGGGACACAGTGATGGCTGAAGGGGGTCCCTACCAAGAAGTACGAGTTGGAACACTCCAGAATAAATGAGATACCACAAAGTAGAACATATTTCTACGCAAATTCTATTGATAAAGTATATTGAACATTTACTGTACAAATTAGTCAATTTGTAATGTGTAAAAGATGTCCTTTTAAGCAATGAGCAGTAGTATGTTAATTTTCTGTCTTTAATTGAAAGAAACACTATTACCTTCTTTTTTTATCAAATAGAAATTGATCATTGTGCTCCTTAAGTTCCAACACAGTAACTATTACAGAAAGAGGGAGAATTATCACTTGTCAGAAATCAGCACAAAACACAGAGAAAGAATAACTGTGCAGCATTGCTATTTGTGTTATTAAAGTAATACGTCAATCCACTTTCCCTTGTAAGCAATTTAGCAAACTGTCCTTGGTTACAAAGACTTCGAGAGTTGGAGCACCAAGTTGCTATCTCTAGATAACATG